TGATTATTTAGAAAAAAGTAGCTTATATTTAAATACTTCAAAATCCACCAATTATTGGAACCCTTCCATTTTTTCTTTCGAACTCCACGTAATGCTTCAAAACCCCATAGCTTTGTACTTTGTAGGTCAGATGCATACTAGGAGCGCTCAACCCCTGGCCCACAGGCCAGATTCAGTCCCTCACACAGTCATCCAACCCACTGGGCTTCCCATGGGTATGAAAATTTGGTGTGCAGTGGCACCATTTCCCTGCTGCCAAATTTTCAGACCTGCGGGGAGCCCCAGGTCCTGCATCCTAAATTGGGTGTCCAGTATGAGTTTGCAGGGCCAGGTGGAGGCAGCATGGGACTATCCTGTTGCGCAGGGCTCAGTCCAGCCTGTGGATATGCTCCCTTCCACTCATCTAGCCTGCAGGACCAAAAGCTTGAGCACCACTGTACTATACTATTGCTGTCTGTGCCTCAGGAAGAGTAAGGGACATTCCCACTCATGCCTGGGGTAAGTGGTTCTGTATGCATTACTTCTGTGCTGTAGCTTTATACTGTGATAATAAAAGCATATGGCATGGGCTGAGTGTTGGTGGGGACAGTATATTACAATGTCATTTTCAGCATATTAAATTAGGAGTGGTTTTATATATAGTCCAAACTCTCTACTTGGGCAAAAAAAGTGTTTCAATCCTTGAAAAAAGAATGTCCATGTTATACTGTATTTCACAGCATGTTTTATTTCTCCATTTTTAGGTTGAATGCACATTTTGAGGTGAATTCAGATTGCTCAGTCTCTCGAGCAGAAATGTACTCTGAATATCTCTCAACCTGCAGTAAATTAGCTCGAGGTGGAATTCTGACATCAACTGGATTTTATAAATGTCTTCGGTATGGTGAAAAGTTTATACAGAGATAAACAAGAGCTTTTAGGCTCATAATGCTATTCTGCAACTTAAATACTTTAGGGAATACCTACTCTGAGAAGAGTTTAAAAGACTTCTCTGATCCTCTAGCATTTGGAATTTTAAGTGAAACAAATTTTTATAGTTCAAAGTAATTGATTGTTTTCTTTCAACCACTTTGTGTTTGGCCGTTTATTTATTTCTCCTTTAGCTGTTGAGGGTTATCTTTTTTCACTTTTGTTGTCCAAAATGCTAATTCTGGTGGACCTGGCAGTCCCCAGAGAGATAACTAAGAGTATCTGAGTATCTCATCGCGTTGTGAAAATGCAGAAAAGACTGGATTTCATCAGAAACGGGCACAGCTATGGCTACTAAATACCCATTGAAAAATACTCCACTTATGAAAAATAAAATAGAGACATTCCCTATTCTTCCCATTTTTGCTAGAGGTTAAATATATAACTCTTTCTTGAGGGACAAACCTAATGATTACACCTTTTAAAATGGAAAGAAGACTTTCCACTGTTCAGCTGAATTTGCTATAACCATTTTGTCTGTCTGCTCAATATTCTGTGATGTATAGAAGCCAAGCTTCAGTAATTTACCACCTATTTTATTCAGGGGTAAATTAGTGTAATTTAGCTTAATTTACCAAGGAAAAGGAGAAAACAGAAAAGCAGTTGCTGCAGATCATAAGGCATGTGAAAATGCAGTTAAGTGCCCCCTCTTTACCCCTTAAAACCATATAATTGTTTATTCCTTCCAAAACCTGATTAAACATGAATAATCCCTAGATTCTAACTTTTGCATTTAGGTAGACAGTGTTTTGCTGTTGGACTTAAACTTAGTTGGCAGCTAATACTCTATTTTGATTATGTATTGTGCTCTTTACTTTTTATATATTTGTAGTCATCCTTTCTGCATATAGAACAAAGCTCAAATGTTAAAAAAATAAAGGAACTAAGAGTGTAAACAAATTGAGTCACTACTTTTATTAATGTTTCTGTATGTTTGTGTTTGGCAGAACTGTCTTTCCAAATCACACAGTGAAGAGAGTAGAGGATCCGAACAACAATGGACAGGCACATATACACGTGGTAGGAGTAAAAAGGAGAGCTATACCACTTCCCATTCAGATGTACTATCAGCAGCAACCAACTTCTACCCCTGTCGTCCGAATTGATTCTGTTCCTGATGTATCTCAGTCTCCTTCACCAGCAGGTATTATTATTACTATTTTACGTTTTGCATTTTTTATAGCTGGTGTTGATTCTGAAACTGGTTAAACCAAGTAAAATTGAGAGAAAAGTAATTTGACAAGTTGCTGTTAGTATTGCTTTACCTGCTCAAATACTACCTTCTGTTTGACACCTGACGCACCAAGTCCACAAATCACATGACAAACCACTGCTTTTGCCACTACTGATTCAAATATAATATAGCTGAGCATAGAAACTGCTCTAAGGAAAAAAAATGAAAGTTTGGACTTTATATTATGTATATTTGTATGGTTTTACATTTGAGCTTTGTTTTTTTTTTTTAATTCAGACTTTTGATTATTTTGTGTTTAACAGGAATCCCGCATGGACCACAAAGTGTAGGAAACCATTTTCAGAGGACAACAGTTAATAACCAGTGTTCAAATTTAACAGCAACACAAATGTCTTTTCCAATTCAAGGTGTTCACACTATAGCACAGACTATTTCAAGAATTCCACAAAATCCTTCAGTTCACACACAGCAGCAACAAAATTCTCCACTGACTGTCATACAAAATAAAGCTCCAATTTCCTGTGAAGTAGTCAAGGCCACGGTAATACAGAGCTCTGTTCCCCAGTCTGCGGTTCCTGTTACTATTGCTGTAGGAGGAGCAGCATCTAATCAAAATCACAGCAGTGCAGGACCACAGCCATCTGTTACTGTTGTCAGTTCTCAGACATTGCTTCACCACCAACCTGTAATTCAACAACAGTCTCCACTACACGCAGTGGTACCAGGACAGATACCATCAGGCACTCCTGTTACAGTAATTCAACAAGCTGTACCTCAGGGTCACATATTTGGCAGAGTACAGAACATACCAGCATGCACTTCAGCAGTTTCACAGGGTCAGCAGTTAATCACGACATCGTCACCTGTGCAGACTTCATCTCAGCAATCTTCTGCTGGTAACCAGCAACAGGACACAGTCATCATAGCACCCCAACAGTATGTCACGACATCTGCGTCCAATATTGTTTCTGCCACTACAGTACAGAATTTCCAAGTTGCAGCCGGGCAGATGGTTACTATTGCTGGTGTCCAAAATCCACAAACGTCTAGGGTAGGATTCCAGAATATTGCGCCAAAGCCTCTACCTTCTCAGCAGGTCCCTCCTACTGTGGTACAACAGCCGATGCAGCAACAGCAGCAGCAGCAACCATCGCAACAAAGTGTAGTGATTGTAAGCCAGCCAGCTCAACAAGGTCAAACATATGCACCAGCCATTCACCAAATTGTGCTTACTAATCCAACTTCTATTCCACCTGGTCAAACTGTCCAGTTGACTGGGCAGCCAAATTTAACTCCGTCTTCCTCACCATCCCCTGGACCAGTTACAAATAACCAAGTCCCTGCTGTAATGTCATCTACATCTACCACTCAGTCACAAGGACCCCCTCCTACTGTTAGCCAGATGCTGTCTGTAAAGAGACAACAACAGCAGCAACATTCACCAGCACCATCACAGCAACAGGTACAAGTCCAGCAACAGCAACCGATACAAATGCAGGTTCAGCCACAGCAAGCTAACGCAGGAGTCAGCCAGCCTAACTCCGGTGAATCTAGTCTGATAAAACAACTGCTTCTTCCAAAAAGAGGCCCTTCAACTCCAGGTGGTAAACTTATACTCCCAGCTCCACAGATCCCTCCACCTAACAATGCAAGAGCTCCTAGCCCTCAGGTGGTTTATCAGGTGGCCAATAACCAAGCATCCAGTTTTGGAGTTCAAGGACAGTCTCCTGCTCAGCAGCTACTAGTTGGACAGCAAAATGTTCAGCTGGTTCCGAGTGCAATCCAGCCCCAAGGGGCAGTACAAACAGTACCCATTTCTAATTTGCAAATATTGCCTGGCCAGTTGATCTCAAATAGCCCAGCAACTATTTTCCAAGGGACTTCTGGCAACCAAGTTACTATAACTGTTGTGCCAAATACTAGTTTTGCTCCCGCAACTGTGAGTCAGGGAAATGCAACTCAGATCATTGCTCCAGCAGGAATTGCAGTGAGTGGAACGCAGGCAGGAGTTGGGCTACAGGTGCAAACACTTCCGACTACTCAAGCACCTCCAGCTGGACAATCACCATGTGCTGCTGCTGCTCCCCCATTCAAAGGTGATAAAATAATTTGCCAAAAGGAGGAAGAAGCAAAGGAAGCAACAGGTTTACACATTCATGAACGTAAAATTGAAGTAATGGAGAATCCCTCCTGTCGAAGAGGAGCTGTGAATGCCAGCAATGGAGATGCAAATGAAAATGAAATGCAGGTGGGAAGTCTTTTAAATGGGAGAAAGTATAATGACTCCAGTCTACCTCCTTCTAACTCAGGGAAAGCTCAAAATGAGGCCAATCAGTGCTTACAAGTCAGTAATGGGCCATCATTAGAATTGGGTGAGAATGGATCTCCTGGAAAGCAGAACTTTGAGCAAATGGACACACAGGAAATTAAAAGTGATTTGAAGAAGCCCTTGGTTAATGGAATCTGTGATTTTGATAAAGGTGATGGTTCTCATTTGAGCAAAAACATTCCAAATCACAAAACTTCCAATCATGTAGGAAATGGTGAGATATCTCCAGTGGAACAACAAGGGAATTTGGATGCCACACAGCAAGATACTGCCAAAGGTGATCAAGGGGAAAGAATTTCTAATGGGCCTGTATTAACTTTGAATAGTTCACCTGTTGTAAGCGGTACACAGGAGTCTGCAAAACTGTTACCCCAACAACTTAGTGGTACCAATACTGATTTACCTAATGGACCTCTAGCTTCAAGTGTGAATTCAGATGTGCCTCAGCAACGCCCAAGTGTAGTTGTCTCTCCACAATCTACAGCCTCTGTTATACAGGGGCATCAAATCATAACAGTTCCACACTCGGGATCCAGAGGGTCCCAATCTACCCTGTCATCTGAAGTTCGGTCTACTAATGGCACAGCAGAATGCAAAACTGTAAAGAGGCCAGCAGAGGATAATGATAGGGAAACTGTTCCAGGAATTCCAAATAAAGTAGGAGTTAGAATTGTTACAATCAGTGACCCCAACAATGCTGGTTGCAGTGCTACTATGGTTGCTGTGCCAGCTGGAGCGGATCCAAGCACTGTAGCTAAAGTAGCAATAGAAAGTGCTGTTCAGCAAAAGCAGCAGCATCCAGCAACATATGTACAAAGTATGGTCACACAGGTAGGTAACAACACTTTTTCATGTTTATTTTATCAGATGATATTTATATAAGAAATAGATATGTGAAAATGCAGATTTGCTAATCTGATATTCTCCTGTATGTAGTATTTTTAAATACTGTAAGTTATGGTTCATGGATTCTTGCATAGTTAAGTTCTTCTGATGATTCTCATTCAGCTTTTGATGCCAGTTTTATTAGTATAGTATAAATGTATTGAAGAGGATTAACATCTAATAGGTTACATCTCTCTAATGGATTATGGGAGAATGCACGTGCTCACTGTTCTCTAAATTAAATTGTGTTATTATTTGGAAAGTAAAGCATAGTTCCTTGTATCTTGGAGTCTTAAAAATATTTGCCCGTATCTAGCCGCCACCACTGAGGATAAGTATCCTATAAAGTAATAATCTCAGTTGTGTAGTATTCTGTATAGCCTTCTTATACATACCTATGTTATAGGTTTCATAACTGTATTTCTGATACATGAATGTCAAGTGATTGTTTACCTAGCTATTGTATTAAAGCTTTTCATGTCAGTGTCTTCTAGCTTGTTGAAGTGTGTTAGTTTTTGCCTTTGGAGATTCTTAAAAGATAATAAGCTCATAAATGTTTCACTGCAGCAGTTAGTAGAATACAGTGCTCATTCATTAGTCAGAAAGGATGTAGTTGTATTAACAGCCTTTGACTCCAGGCAGTTATACCTTGTGGACACTGTGGGTAGAACTGTCTCATACATCACATTCTCACATGCATCAAATTGAAAGGGCATTAGTTTCTTTCTGTGGCTAAATTTACTTTACCATTTAGTATGAGCTTCCTCAGACCTCATGCCAGCATAATATATGTTCATTCTTTGTATGACTTTAAGCACATATTTACTCAGTTCAAAATTGTTCTATCTCTAAAATTCATTTTAGTTAAGTATTTGCACAGAAAATACTTACTCTGAGAATGATTTAAAGAAAATTCTTTCAGATTTTGGATTAGAGTAAGTAATGGCATCAACAGATTTTTATATGGTAAGAGGCAGGTAAAATGTAATGAGAGAACCAGGGAAATTCTTAAGGGGTTAGTGCTCTTATAACTTGAGACAAGATTAAGTATTTGTTCAGTCCTTTTCTTTTCTAAATCCTTTTCAGGATTTAGTTGATGTGACCTTTATGGCCCAAAACTAAACTGTAAGTACAGTCCAGTTAAAACCATCCTGAATAATCAGACGTTATTTTCTGTCACTATGTTAGATTTTTCACTGACATATGTTTTGTTTGCGGGGGGGTTGCTTTTCTTTTTTTTGCTTTTTTAAAAACACAATTCAATTATAATAAGTCCTTGGCTTCCTTACCTGAGGGAGAGAGAGGTCTTTTACCTCTCTCTAAAAACGCAAATAATTTTTTTAACAGTCATAAAACATGTTTGTGAAAATATATTTTGCAAGTATAAATAAGTTATATAATGTAATCCTTGGTCATTTTATTTATCTTTGGTATGAATCGAAGTTGTTTGATGGAAAAAATATCTATGAGCAGCAAACTTAAGGTTCATCTCATCTTCACTAGTCAGAATTTCCCTGGTATGTTTTCATCAGCTGAAAATCATGCATTGTATAGTGTTATAGGGGTTGTGCAGTTTGGATTTTTTCCTCTAGCCTTGCTAAATTCATACAGATACAGGCTGTATATTTGTGATTGAACTGTTGGGGTCTTTTTTTTCACTAAAATAGGTGACAGCATACTTACTTTCTAGACAACTGACTGATGTGAATTAAGAATTATTTCTGAGAATAGTTAAATTTGACATTTTCAGAATGTTAAGAAAGAGTAAGAAGACTATGACTTAATTTTTCCCTCTATGGTATATTTAAGCATATGCCTGTCATAACAAAAAAAAGTTGTGAGGTATTTTTTAAAAATGGGTAAAACACCCCTTTTTCCCTTGTCACATTCTCAGTATTTCTGTTGTGGTCCTTTACCTATTCACACAACTATGCTGGCAACTGCGTTTATCAGCTGAGGGAATGATGCAGATGCAGGTTTCACTGAAGCTGTTGAGAGTTATTTTAGTCGGTCAACAAATAATGTCGCCTTCTGTCTGCTTACCCTTTTCCTTCTGTCTACAGGCTGTCTTTAGCTGCTTAAAATATTTAGGTTTATGAAAGAAGACCAGTAGTTTTAATGGTCACTGTTTTTGATGATGAGCCCTAACTAATTGTTTGATTTGGTACTGTCTCAGGACCAACTACAACTGGAAATCTATTGTACCTGGCACAGAGGCTGAATAGTAGATGCTATTGTTCTGTTAAATTATTTTAAACACTTAACTCCCATCTCAAATTCATGTTGAGAGTATGAGCAGCATATTTCTTACGGACAGAAATCAGGGCTGTCTGGCTGGTGGTCTGCAGGCTGCAAGTGGCCCATGAGGGGTTAAGTTGCAGCCCCGGAGTTTCTTCTCAGCCACTGCTCTCCCCATCACTTCCCTCACTCATACCAGAAGTCTCTCCCTGTCTTTTCTCTGGCTTTTGCTGCCTGCTCCTGCTCCAGGAGGTGGGGCAGTGCAGCAGGGAAAACTGAGGTTGATCCTGGAGCCATGCAAGTGCACAGTGTGTGCATGCAAGTGGTGGTGGGCATGTTGTGCAGCAGGTTGGGAGGGAGTCTGTGCAGTCTGGGGGGGCCTGTGGCTTGTCCTGGTATGGCCTGTGAGTGAGCAGCTTCTCTGGGGTGTTCAACCCCTGGCCACTTAGAAGTTGGACAGCTCTGATGTAAATGTTGGGTTTCAGAATAGTTTTGTGAGAGGACCGAGGACAATGGGCAGGAGATTGTTATTGCCTGAATATGTACAGTTCTGATTATCAGCTGTTTTGCCTGCTTGAATGTAGTTCCAAGAAAAGAAATGCAAAACTTGGTTCATAGATAATACCTTTTTATTAGACCAACTCTAAAAATTGCAAAAAAATTGTCTTTTTCTGCAAACTTTCAGGCTCACGTTCCCTTCCTCAGGCTCAGGGAAAGTTTGAAGATGTTAAAAAGTCCCCGTATGTAGGAAATACACTTCATTTTTGCACAGAGGAAGCTGAAGATGGAAGTGTGTTCCTCTGGGTCCATAAGAGTGTCTTTGTGAGTTGCTGTTTGTTGTGCAGATAAGGCAGGATTCCTTCGCTGGTGGTGTCAGATGGCAGACAGGCAGGGAGGTGTAGAAATCTTTCTTGTTCAGCAATGACGTTTAAATCCAAAGTCGGTTAGAACTTGGCATTTTCCATGTAAAATGCACTGCAATAAACAGTTGCAAATGGTGTATTCTTAGATGCTGTATTATCCAAAACCAAACCCCCAAAATACTTCAGTAAAATGTTATCTGTGTGCTTCAATGTTGAGCCCATAAACAAACATTTCCTTCACTTAAATCAAAATACTGTAGAATCTGTTTAATCTCAGTAATTTTAAACAAAACAAGGAACAGTTGAAGCAAGACCTCTGCCAAGTACCTGTCTAGTGTGTGCTCTGTCCTCTGTTATCTTTTCATTACTGTTGATGACACAATGAATGAGAGGAAATAACATGAGATGAGAATTAAAGAAGGATTATGAGGTTACTTACTTTCATTACACAAACATTTCTTGGTATGTTGCTGTTTTAAATGAGAAAATCAGAGTTAAGTTAGAGAACAGTAGTTAGGATGGGCTGGGAAAGAAGCTGAAAGAATAGGAGAAGGAAGGTATTGGTTATATACCATGTACAAAGATTAGCACATTCACCAGCTACTAGGAGAAAGGGTGAGTTGAAGAGCAGCAAAAGCAAGATAGAAGTAGAAATGTGTGAAAACAGGAAGTGATAAAA